AAAAAAAAGATATTTAAAAATAATAGTAACATTTTGGGGATTTGAGGAAAAGAATTTTAACATTGATAGGTAAAATTACTGTTGTCAAAATCTTGGCCCTGTCAACTTCAGTACATATATTTTCTTCTCTTCCAAACCGTCCAATTAAATTTATTGATGAAAGAAACAAAATATTTTACTGATGTATCTAGAATGATAGAATGGATAAAATAAAACGAACAACATTAATTAGAAAAATATGATGAAGGCGGACTGAGATTGATAGAAATAATGTCTTTTATGATTTTTTTTCTAAAACTGGCTATTCTAAATAAACATCTTCAGAGCTATAACTGTAATAACTCAAACATCTTTGCACTAAAAACATCTTCCCATGGCACCAATACTGACAACTGTTTGGACTTAACTAACCCTTACTGGAGAGATGTATTGGCTGCTTGGGTAACATTTTATAGAAGACTAATGGAACCTCTTTGGTGTAACCATCAGTTTTAATAAAGCAAATTTGATTATAAGAAATTAAAGGGAATATACACTATTGAATATTTTTGTAATGAAGATGATATACTGTAGATATATTTTATGATATAAAATGGGATACCACTCTTGACTTTGATATAAAATGGAAAGATGTGTTTATCAGATACAGAAAATTTACAAAAGATGTAAAATTACTTAATTTTCCACATTAATGTATTTATTGCATCATCTATATAAAGAAAGAAAGTTAAGAATGCAAATTCTTGATAATGATCTATGCTCATTTCGTGAAACTAAACTGAATCCTTACTTCCAGTATATTTGGACTGCAAACATGTTAAAGAGTTTTGGATCAAACTAGAATGTTCCCTAAATGCAAAATTTACAAAACAATCCGTTTTACATGGGTACAACTCTCACATGCTTTCAAATCATATCATACTGGTATCCAGAAATATATATACATGAATGAAGTATTAAGAAGAACAAATTGTCACTTGAAAACTTTATGAAGACTTAAATAGATATATTACAGACAGAGAAATCCATTGTACACAAGAACAATACATGAGGACAGTTTGACAGAAAATGAAAAAATGGCAAATGAACTTTCTGGTTAATATGTCTCTATGTTGAGTATGAACAATTCCTACTAATGTGATGTAAGAATTTAGCTTCACACTTAGTTAATGATGGCCCAATGATGATGCTTTTATTCAGGTAATGAGGCCACCGGCCCATTATACACGTGCAGAGTATGATGGCATACAAATATGACAGAGCGCTGAATTATAAGATTTACAATGCAGTATTCAAACTGTTAATATTGGAGTTTATTATATGACACAGGTATTCCCTTGAAAATGGAATTACGTTTCTTACCAGCAAGAAATACATATTTTGCTAAATTGTTGCAAATACTTTGATTAGTCGAGCTGAATAATATGAACATTTTCTCACGACTTGGAAACATGTGATAATAATTGGGTATGAGATTAGACCGCAGATCAAGATAGAACGGACACACCATACAAAAGTGGAACTCATCTTCGATAGCACTTACAACACAGAGGGGACAGAAACGTTTATGTCTTGGTATGTTATGATTTCTGCCTGTTTCAACCATAAGACGATGAATGGATCCGAGAAAATTCAAGATATTAATTCGAAATAATGTTACATCAATAAATCGAATCCAGTTAAGCATGGCAAACGTACCCTGCTGGTTTCATCACCTGTTGACATGCTATTGTACACCTGTATCCTGACTAGTCAACTATAATTGCTATCTGATGGATAGGTTTGTAACCTACACCTGATAAGTATAATTTTACGTGGCTTGTTACTTTATAGGAAAATATGTAACATCATGTACTGAATTGAGTAAAAAAGGTTTAAAATAATGTGTTTTGTGTTCAAGTCCTCGAAACACATCGAAATAGATTCAATCCCTAAGAACGACATTGATGTGTTTGATTATCTCATGCCTAAATACCCAGAACAACTTTAATTGATTTCTGTGACCATTTTGCCAAATATTACAAAACATGGAACATGTCTTTTCAAGATGTGTCATTATACTTTGTGTAGCTTAGCAAAGCATACATTTATTCTAGGTATGCAAGGAAACCTCTTAGGACCGCTCTCCCACTCATTACTCAAATCTTCTAAATGTCTTTTACATATAGTTAGTTGTTTGTATAATTTTGTGTTTGTCTGTCTATTTTACAATAATCATACAAATAGATATATACAAGATTATTTAATAACAATCCCCCCGATAAACGTTTTTTTGTAGATATTTGACGACAAAGAACGAGTCTAATATATTAAATCTTTCTCTGTATATTTAACATGCATCAACCAAAAGAAATGGACGACGTGTATATCCCAATGTGCAACATTTATGATTGTATTTACATGCGTAACTGTTTCTTGTATATGGGCCGGAGGCCTTTTGTATAATAAACTTCTTTTCACTTTGACTGGCGTATATACAATTGGCTGTAAGTTGCGTTCCTTAGGCACGCCAGAAACCCTATGATTGTGGGTTCGACTCCCGATTTGCTCCGATTATGTTGTTAGGTTTGTCAGCACTATATCCGTGCTCGTGGCTTTCACTAAAGTTGTAAACGCTTAAGACCTGTATCACATATCTCCCACATCAAGCTGACACACCGTGCTATTACAGGAATATTGTTCAAAGCGGTGTTAAACTCAACTCACTCACACACTCAAAAAATTATTCAGGTGAGGTAGAAAGTGGCTTAACGTCGCCTTGACGATTATTTCACTTATTAATGCACGTGTGGGTGTGTGGCTGACTGTGCTAGTCCGAACTTTTAAGGGTTTTATAGCCCTAGTCTAGTTTGATACTATTCTGCAGTTTTACATGTATAACACACTCAGAAACAGTATACCACCAATCCTTGTTTTTTTCCACTAATGCCGAGCACCAGGCAGGGTAACAACAAGTACCATCTTTTAGGTATATTTACATGACCCGAATGGTAGCGTAGCGCACGGTTTTAAATGATTATTTTGGAGACGATCAATTCGGTCTTTCATTAATTTAGATACGGTTATCTCCATTCGTTCCGCTTCGGACTGGTAATTCGGCAAGGCACGAGAGGCGATCAGACCTTGCCTGTGAAAAGGGTGGCAGGTATCATTAGAACTGTTTGATATGCATTGTAAAGTAACAACTATTCGTCAAAAGAAAACAAAAACCTATTTGAACAATGCAACAATTTAATATTTATATAAACCCTCCAAATACGACAGAAACAAGCTACTTATAATCTGAGAAGTAGTTGCCGATATTTACGCAACAGTTTGAAATTTGGAAAGAGGTAGACGTGCCAGCTTTTACATTTTGTGCAAGATTGAAATTTGAAGTGACAGTGGTGGATACTAGGCTGACTGTCGAATCTGAAACCTGTTGAATCGAAGAATAGCACTTTTTCTGATCGGCGGACAAGTCAGTGTGATGAGTCAGTTATGATTCCACGTGCCTCTACACCAGCATGCGACAAAAGAGTGACAGTGGTGGCCCTAACGCAGGGATTCTTTGGAAATAGTTTTCATCATTTGGGACAGAGGATTCATGCCAAGCGGATTTAACGTGTACCAGCATGGATAACTAGCAGTGACAGTTTTGCGGGGACCAAATATTTTGGAAAAAAAATCCGATTTAAAAAATTCCGAAATCCATCATGTCTGTTGTGTTGATATCAGCCATTTTGGTGGTCTAACGGAAGTAGTGCAACAGTGTTGTCGGGTGTATAAGTGCGCAGTGAAGCGGTCATAAAATCAGATTTGTTTTTTACTATTTCAATACAATATGTATTATACATTGTACAGTCAGATTCTTGCTGCTAGTTTGCTAATTTTGCTCGTGATGGATACTTGTAATACTAGCTTGGGATGTAGAGCTTCCTGTTTTCCATATAAAATGGACAAACTGAAAGGAAATGGTATTCGTCTTCAATAACATTATGATTACATTTCTTGCACTAAAGTAAATCAGTATTGACTTTGTCTTTGTAACGAAAGTGTTGAATACCCAACTTATGGCATAAACATCAGAATTTAAATAATATGCGGATAAGATATTTGTTTGGACATTACTCCATAATATATTTATCTCGTTCGAGTACAGACATATGTGGAATAATTGTTTAGAAATGATGAAGAAATAATATTAGCATGCCAATTCTGAAACTCTAAGTCTTTACATCTTTGCATAAAAGTTAAAACATTGTATAAAATTTGATATGCTGCCACACTCCTGTGCGATCCAAACATACGTAAATCCGGTTTCTAATAGCATCAAACGAACAGGCGTTACCCAGTTGTGGCTCCGTTTTCATCCTGTCATTTCAACATGTCATAACATGCTTTTGGGTATCAATATATAATAGATAGCTAACACTTCATGATATTGATCATGTCTACATATTTTATGAATTTATTCCATTGTGGGGGAAAGTGTCTGATTATAAAATTCAGACACAAAACAACTCAGAGGGCATCCCATAAAAGAACGCATGTTTTTCATATATTTTTCACTATATTTAGTGCCATTACTGATGAGCTACATTCAATTGAAAAAATGGTGTTCTCTAACTTCTTTTGAGTAGTATACAATAGTATATCAGTTGTCAATTGATGCTTGAGTATTGTTCGTAATGTCCACCCTCTCTGTTCACGTCTCCAAACCACGCATGAACGTGGCTATAGTATTTATAAGAAAAGGGTAGATTTGTTTTGCACAAGCTATAGTGCAGTTTAGCAAATGACCCAATATAATTAAAATAAGATCTACCGCTACACAAAGATCAGTGGACATCCCTTTACGGATCACATCAGAACGACCTTTCCTGAACTTTGACCGACCAATGGAATGACTGACAAAAAAAATCGACATTAGCCAATCAGAATGTAGCTTTCTCGTGCTTTACGGCACACGTTTCAAACTGGCGACGACGCTTTGAAACATATTTTGACAAATTCGCGATTAAAAATTTGAAACATGAACACACAAACATTCTGGAATGGCTATAGATGGCCTAGATTGTATGGATTCAGTCGTAAAGCCTGAACTGTCGTTCGGAATATCACCTGTTACATGTTTAGATGTTGTATGATTAGAAAACACATTTCCTCATCTGGTAAGCAACACTCTGATTGGTCGGATGAAAGGTCGTTCTGACGGATCTGTAATTGGATGTCTTCAGATCTTAGTTTAGCGTAGCTAGAACTATGATCTAATTTTAATGAGATTGCAAAGGCCATAAACAGATAAAATAAAGACTATACAACATATCCCTGAATTTTGAGTGAAGAAGAATGTACACGCATCTCCATATATAATGCATATAACTTTTCGATGCCTTTCACATTCACGTCTTGGTCGGGAATGACGCCTTGACAACCCTGTCTCCTAAAGGGTTAATGGTCCGGACATTGTTTACAAGATTATCTTCGTGGTAACCGCCATGGCTGTCACCATGGTATCCACCAATGAGGTGTCTGAGATGCATCAACTGAAACGAGCAAGTATTATTGTTATTGTCAGTTAGTGATTGCTTTGTGTTTATAAAGGTTGCTGGCACCTAACTATCACAGAAGTAACATGACACTAGGTGTTGAGCATCTAGTAATGAGTGAGTGGGTGTTTAGTTTGACGCCTCACGTTTGTCAGACACCTTGATAAAGAGATAGCCATCATTTGGAATTATTATGCATAGATCTAGATTGGAAGCCAAATATGGTTTCTGGGAGGATTCTGTGATTGGGGGATGTTTTCACATGTTTCCTTTCTGATTGAAACACCCACCAATTTGAGATATTCTTAATACATGTTCGGAAAATTGAAGCACAGAAAACGTTATGACAGAGGCCGTAGTATACTATTATCCCCCCGACATATAATGACGGGGGGATATAGCCATCATGTCCGTCCGTCCGTCCGTCCGTCCGTCTGTAATCATTGTTTGTCCGGAGCATATTTCCTAAACCGTACAAACTAGCTTCACAAAACTTGATACACTTACCAATCAGGCTCAGTAGTAGTGCCTTATGCTATTTAGAGTTATTTAAAAAAAAAAAATTGTCGTTTCCATGGAAATATGATGAGCTTAGGAAATTTGAGGGTAGTGCTCTTGTCCGGAGCATATTTCCTAAACCGTTCAACCTAGCTTCCCAAAACTTGATACACTTATCAATCAGGCTCAGTAGTAGTGCCTTTTGCTATTAAGACATTTTTAGAATTTTATATTTTTGTCGTTTCCGTGGAAATATGATGAACTTAGGAAATTTGAGGGTAGTGCTCTTGTCCAGAGCATATCTCCCGAACCATACAACTTAGCTTCTCAAAAGTTTTTACACCTATCAAGCAGGTTATGTAGTGGTGCCTTTGCTATTAACCGATTTTTTCTTTTTTTTTCTTTTCAATTTAAATTGAAAATTGATGAACCTGGGTAGTATCCTCGTCTGGAGCATATCTTCTAAACCATGCGACAGAGATTCACCAAACTTTATGCACATATCAATCATGTTCACTAGTAGTGTAGTTCTTTTATTTGAAGGTACACACAGTTTACCGACATGCCACGTCGGGGGGATATGTCATCTTCGGATGACTCTTGTGATAGTTTGATGTGAGGTGTAGCAAATACATACATACATGACCTGCCGCCATATTTGTTCACAGGAGCACTTACATCTCAACAGATCATGATCATAAACACACCTGGGTATGGGATAAGCAGATAGCCTCCTCCAGGAGGATCCACGTGACACTTTCATAGCAGGGGGGCGTGGTCAGGGACCCAGGGTATGTCCAGTACTTGTCAACATTACCTATAACAAAGCAGACATTGAGAACTACCTTCCCCGCAACATTATATAGTCACGTGTCTTGTTTTGGTTGTTACAGTTACGGGATTGTTATAATATATTTATATTATTTTATCATTATACAATGGGTAAATGCAAAAGGTCAAGGTCAGAGATAATCAATCTCCAATGTCTAGCAAACAGATATCATTGGGTTCAAAAGTGAAAGTTGTGATGAAAATTAAATAAAAACCAATGCTGGCGCCAGGTGTTCGCAAACACTTTAAGCACTAATAATTTCTGCTAGGGGAGGTGGTACGTCTTATGCCAGATGCAAGTTTGGGAAACGTTGTCCAATGTTTATAAGTAGTAAAGCGCAAGGGGAATTTGTTTTCAAATGTCTTGCCATTGTATATATTTAAATATGTACTTCAGTTGTGACATTAATAAATGACCCCTCCTGTAAATCAAGATGAACAAAAAGGTAACTGAAATAAGGCAATGCTATTTTCACATCCATGTTTCACGAAAGCATGTGCGTCAACTGTTCTTACGTGGGAGCAAATAGCGGGAGTCGAACATGGTCTTGACGTGGGTCGTCGTGTGCGGGTTGTGGACCTCATGCATCACATCCGTCAGTTTCTTAAATTCTTCATTTTCTTGGCCAACCTGAGATGAGATTTTATCAATGTGTGAGTGTCTTGGATTTAACGAGAGGCCGCTTTGAACAGTATTCTAGTTCATGTGGGAGGAAGGCACAAAGTTATGCAGGTCTCAGACGTTTACCACTTTGGTGAAACCCACGAGCACGGGCATGGTGCTGACAAACCTAGAAACATAATCGGGGCGAACCGGGATTCTAACCCACGAGCATAAGTGTCTGGCGTGCCAAAGGGACGCAACTCTACATAGCAAATTACAGCGTTTTAGACGACTGGGCCACCCATGTCCCCGACTTGATTTTAACCATCTTGGAAAATACCCCCGATTGTATCTATAAAATTGAGAGTGCTGCACCAACCCACGACAGCAGATTAGGCAGTCTGAACTAACCTAACCTAACCATGTGACAAATGTTATATTTGGAAAATATCTCGTACTTTACTAAGAACGTATTATTAAATATAACATGTGATACATTTGACCACTTTATAAATGGCATTGTGTGTTCATAACCGTAACCATAGTCAAGGTAGACAACAGATTCTAAGTTATGCCTATCAAACAATTTATCGTAACGATAGTGACGGTGACTGAATGTAGCAGATCTCTATTACATATCCGGGCATTCTACAAAGTAATTATTTAAACCTTTGTGTCATATCCTAGGTATAAAAAATAATAAACTGACGTCCAAAAGAAACTTTACCAGAGTTTGAAATCACTCTTGCTCAAAAACAACAAAACATACATGCATGAAGTAAAGTGTATTGAGATGATCAATATATCAACATAATCAACACTGAAAATGACAATCATACCGCGACCGAGAATGACGTCAGAGCCCCCCAAAGTTGGGTGTGGTACAAAAATCGAGCTTTCAGAATCATGGACAATAGGCAGAGTACATAAACAATCGCTCACGTTCAATAACAAGTCATTAGTAGCATGTGTGACCACCAAATTCCTCAATACACGCAAAAACTATTCGACGCACAGAAAAAGTCAGTCGTCTGATGAGGTCACGTGGGATTTGACGCCATTCTTCTTGGAGGGCCAAGATCAGTTCTTGCCGGTTGGCTGGCACGTCGAACACGACAATCCATCAAGTCCCAGAGGTGTTCTATGGGGACCATGTCGGGTGAACGTGCAGGCCACGGCAGGACGTTGACGTTGTTGGCTGAGTGGAAGTTAGTGACAATTCTGGCGGTATGGGCTCTAGCGTTGTCATGCTGATAAATGACACCACGTGGCTGCTGTTGGAGAAATGGTAGGACAACTGGACGAAGCATGTTATCCATGTAACGCTGAGCTGTCAAGTTTCCGTCAACGATGACCAGCGGTGTCCTCTCCTGTCCACAGATCCCTCCCCACACCAGGACACTCCCTCCACCATATTGTACGACCTCCTGCACGCAACACGCCGCCGTTCGTTCACCCCTTCGGCCGTAAACACGTTGTCTTCTATCAGCCCTAATTATACAGAATCGACTATCGTCAGTGAAGACACCCCTCTGCCAGTCACGTCGCTGCCAACGTCGTACAGTCTTGGCCCATCTTAATCGCAGACGACGATGTTGCGCTGTCAAAAGCTGTCCTCTGTATGGTCTAAAAGCCCTGATTCCATGAGCCCTGAGTCTCCTGGCCACTGTCTGTCGACTAACCCTGTGACCTAATGCATTTGTCGCCGATGACGTCACTGTCAGGAAGCGATTTCGGAGGTGCAAGGTACGCAAGTATCGGTCATCATGGGGCGTGGTCAACCCGGGTCTGCCTGTTCTTGGCCTGTCAGCGGTCCGCCCTGTCTGTCTGTAACGTTGCATCAAGTTGGTAACGGCAACACGGGAGCAAACGAAGGTTCGTGCAATATGGGCGTGGGTGGCTCCCATCTGTACCATACCCAAGGCTCGTTCACGTTGTTCGACTGTGAGTCGTGGCATTTCTTTTGTGTGTTTTTTTTATCACTGTGGATGTCTGACTTGTCGTTGCAATCGTTTTATACCCTTACCCGCACGTGCATTTGCAGTTGTCCGTGGTGCACGTGTTTTTCACTTTCTCGCAAACATGTAACAGACGATTAACATTTTCTGCATACGCTATTGTTGTATTTAGGTTATGTGTTTTAGATAGACTTCATCGAAAGAAAATGTATACTTTGTCTGAAATTTATATTTTCAGTTGGTAAAGTTTCTTTTGGACGTCAGTTTATATTCTTCCACAAGCATGGAAAGACATCCGAAGGTTCCAGAAGCTAAACATTTGCTCTTTCGTCCTTGTTTCCGTTACATTATGGACGCCAAGTGATTATTTACAGATAATCTTTGCTTACTGTCTTTGACTAAAATGTACATATGAATAGTAATGGCGTGGGTATCAGTATCCCTTTTCAAATGTTAATTCGGATCTGGAAGGGCAAAGCTCCACGATCTTACACCCATTATAATATATGTCTATACATTGTAAATATAGAACGTCAACGCCAGAGAATAACCAGTCTCTATTATCCGACAAAACAGATTCCATTGGGCGCAAAAGGCAAAATAGGTGAAACGTATATAGGACTAGATCCCCGAAAATCTGCGATGACACCAGGTGTTCTTAAAAAGGCTATGTGGTAAACTGAGAGAAACGCAGGTACTGTAAACTACGGTTATAACGAACACGCTTATAACGAACTGACCGATATAACGAACTTATTTTTTAGTCCCGGCCATTTGTTGTATATATGCTGCATATATGCTTATAACGAACTACGGTTATAACGAACTAAAATTAGTAGTCCCTTTGAGTTCGTTATAACCGTAGTTTACTGTAATTCATTATCCTGTAAATGGACATTTATTCATATTCAGCAAATACAAAGTCGGATTTTAATGTGTGAACTTGCTTGAACAGTGTTACCGAGCATTGTTACCCTCTGACTGAAACTTTCGAGTTGTTGTGACGAAGTAGATGTATCTCTAACATGTGCACGGATACCTTACATGTTAACTGCGCCCTCGTGACGTACGTATGATGTGCAAACCTTTTTCAAAATACCGGATCTGTCTCTACATGTGTATAGTATTTCACTTAGTTTTATTTGAAATGCAATTTACTCAACACGGCATGTGTAGCTTGAAAGCTTTATGTTCATACAATAAATTATTCATGGTTTACACTGTACAATGTAAACCAGGATCTGCAGTTGCACACCTGATGCACATGCACAAAGGTTTGCTCTCTTACGAAAAAGAACATAAAATTCTCCTTTTTCTAAACTCGGATATCCTGGTCTATAGATGTATGACTGCTCACATATTACTTGCCCCGTTGGTAGCACGTGAATACAAGCAGATCCAAGGCAACCTGCACCAGTCGTAATCCACCAAGTCATCGCGAATCACCGCTCAGTCTTCAACAAAACACACGCTAGGCGCTTACCGTAAACTGAAACTGTGGTATATTTTAACAAATGAAAGGTATATAGGTAGAGTAGGGTGAAATGTGGTGAACGTCATGTTCAATATATCACCCATATTGCGACGTAGAGACGTGCGGACACATTATACTGACTCCGGCCGGCCAGTCCTTTTTTTATCCCCTGAAGGCCGAAAAACAAGTATCATCTTTCGACGTATGACGCGGCTAGGGGATCGAACAACCGACCTTCCGCTCTCCGGTCTGAGGAGGCGAACCATGAAGGCGGTTCTGAGAGATAATATAACACAAACCTTTATGAAAACTCCAAGCACAGCTAGACCGTCCTCTTTGTCTGCGGCATCGTCAAAGGTGGAGTATTTTGTAGCATTCCAGTGAACAAAATGTAGCTGAAACATCATGTATTGCCATATAATTATCTCCACCTATTGACGTGACGCAAATGGAATGCTAAATTAAATATGTACAAATGTCTGTGTTATGTAATACTACGAGGTGAAGACCATACAGGTACAAATCCTTACGCCCGCGATTTGTGTCTGTTTTTTGTTGTTGTTTAACGCCGCATGCAATATCATTCCAGCTTTATGACAGTGTTCTGTAAATAATCGGGTTGCGATCAGACAATCAAGTGATTGACATCATGAGCATCGATCATCGCCATTGGGAAACGATGACGTTCATCAACCAAGTCAGCGAGTCTGACCACTCGATCCCGCTAGTCGCATCTTACGACAAGCGTAGGTTGCCGTAGATCAAACCCGGATCTTGACGTGTTTCCTTAAACACTCGAATGGACTTACGAATCATGAGAACATTCACTGTAATTGGTCTCATATAATCAGTCGCAGGGTAAACGCTATAGAAACTCGTTTCTAGTGTTAGTAAGCTGCTGGCTGAACTACGTACGTACCTCTGCAGAATATTGTTTGCCGTCCACTTTATGCTCCGAGCCCTTCAGGTCGCTGCTTCCCCAGTGGAAATGGAACTGTTTCAGATGATATTTCGCGTCACCAAGCGGGCCACCACTTATAGCTGTTTTAAAAAAATATGTGCATTAGAACAAATGAACAAATATGCAAGAAACTGAAGAAACGAACAAAAATTAACAGAGCCAAAACCAAACCAATTTTCCTATACGCTGACAGGCAAAAGAAACTATACGAAGCAGGTTATTACGATTATCAAAATAAGAAATGTAACAGTTGAGAAAAGATAGGTGTAATTGCCCAAATACATTTTGCATTGCAGGAGAAATTATACAATGGTAAGTTGATAAAATAAAGGGTATAGGAGGATGATCGTTGGGGGGGGGGGGGGGGGGGGGGGGGTATTCAATCATTCGTGTGTGCCCACCACGTTCATCAAAACAAGCTATCATTGGACGGCGATCGGAGTACGTCAGGCCTCAAATGACTTGGGGTGGAATGTGCCGCCATTCCTAACCTCGTGCTTGCAATAAACCTTCTCCTTTATTTTACTCTTTTACCAATTGATCCCAAACATGCTCAAGTGGAGACATGTCAGGGGATGGGCTGGCCATGACGAAACGTTCGCATTGTTGGCATTGAGAACGTTCATGGTTCTTCGCGCTGTGTGGTCGGGAGTTGTCTTGCTGGAATGTGGTCCCAGTTGTCTTGAGCAGGTACGGGAGAAGAACTGGGGGAAATATCTCATCCATGTAGCGATGCGCTGAAAATGGCGTTGACCACGAGATCCGCCTTCTTTTGTCAACAGATGCCACCCAAACCATGACGCTACCACAGCCGAATGCCACGACCTCCTGCATGCAACAACGCCGACGGTGAATACGAATTCTGCTGACTGAAGAGTTGGAATCGAGTACCCGTTCTCAGTGTCTGTTCTGCCAAAGGGCTGACTGTCCCTGGCCATCTTATCTTAGAGGTCGACGTTGAGGCTTCAAGGCTGTTCCGCGGTACGCTCTGGAGGCACGAATACCATGTTGCCGTAGTCTCGGGGATACAGTTCTTCAACTGACAGCACATCGAATGGCAGTTGCTGGCGATTTCGTCACTGTACGAATCTGTTCCTCAAGTGTATGACGTGCCGTCTTCGTTGGAAGTCGTGACGGATGGTCTACCTCTCCTGGGCCTGTTCGCGGTATGGCCAGTGTGTAACGGGTCATCATTCTGGTGATTGTTGTGACAAATCGTGACACGTGGTTGTGTGTAGCTCCCATGTGAATCTTACCCTTTCTCTCTCTCTTCTGTCGATAGCCTTGACGTGGTTGTTGTGTTGTAATGCTGATTTGGATGCCACGGACTGAGTGAGTATGGTTTTACGCCGCTTTCCTAGCAATATTCCAGCAATATTACGGCAGGGGACACCAGAAATGGACTTCACTCATTGTATCCATGTCGGGAATCAAACCCGGGTCTTCGGCGTGACGAGCGAACGCTTTAACCACTAGGCTACCCGACCGCCCGTGGGTGCCACAGAAGACAGCAATACTGCTTGTATACTACACATATATAATGGCGTGTCAGCTTATTGTGTAAGAAAAAATCAAAGTGAAATTATAAATGGTAAAACCCATGACCACTGACAAAGCGCTGAGAACTCAAGCACCATCAACAGGACGAATCTGGGAGTCCAACTCACGATCACAGCCACAGGAACGTAACTCCTGTTGCGGCGCCTTCGTCTGGATCAACAGTATCCTATTATAGTATGGTGAAAGGAAGGTCGTGCAACCCCAGTCTAATCTGTCAGGAAGTATTTGACTTGACATTGTTGTCGTGAATAAAACTACTTACTAGAGGACTCGTCCACATCTGCTTGGAAAGAGCGTCCATTGTTCTCGACTTCCAGATCGTATTGCCGAGTGTGCTCAATTCTCAGGGGATGGTAGCCGAGTTGCGGGTCGTATTCAGTCGTTGCAGTTTTAATATCAATAGGCGACTGGTGTGGTCCGGCGGCGGCCTCGTAGTACAGGACCCAGTTTAAAGGTCCTGAAAGGGAATGGCAGAGGGGAGTGTTGAAAACCTCGCATGGAGAACATATATCGATACGGACGTGGGTGAAAGGTGAACAGAATTAAAAAAATTCCGGAAGGGCTTGAAAATAGTTTTAAACATTCGATTATACATGTTGAAAGTCCTGAGCTAATGAGTCGCGGGTCCCAAGAAACCTATTTAGTTTCTCTTATCAGAGAACAAAACGTATTGAAACGCTGAATGTAAAATATGTTGTGTCTAAAACAAAATCCTAGGCCCCAGAGTATAAAAAGGTTGGCATCTTATTTTCCGAAGTGAAAATAATCTTGAACGCGGCGTTAAACGTCATTTAACTACACCTAAGGTCACCTCACCTCGCGGGACCTGTTATAAAACTTTAACGGAACTCTTCCACTCGTATATTTTAACTGCTTGTTGTAACATCATATCTCAAAATATTATATATTTTAATATCACACAGCTTAAACTTCAAAAAAGTATATCAGTTATTTTTATGTATGAAATATATAATAACCATTGCATACAACAAGGATACAATAATTAATACCACTGATTGCTCACTTGTTTCCTTATCGTAGGTAATGTCGGATCACTTTCTCAGTATAACCTCTCATATAAGTGACAACGGTCGAATTATTTCGTGAAATAACTGAGACATGCTCACCGTCGGCTTCACTGTATCCCCAGCTCATGGTCACGTTGTCAGTACGCGCGTAGTAGATGACTAAAGGGAATTCGCTAACGGCTTCTATTTAACCGTACCATCGTTGATTATAAACAACCCACGTTCACGTAGTCCGCGTTTGGGGACGTCTGACTTTGTCAACAGGAGTATCATGTCACGAGAGTGATGCAAAAAAGGATGGGCGAACCCCCGCGGTGAAGTTGATGGGACAAGAAATAGGACAGTATGTTGAGCCCAATTGAACATTGCCTTCTGGGGCGTGTGCGAAAACGCGAGAAGCACGTATCCCACGGCCTAGGGATTCATTCTCTATATAAATACATATAATCTCTCTCTCTCTCTCTCATCTCTCTCTCTCTCTCTATATATATATATATACACATATAATCTCTCTTTCTCTCCCTCTCTCTCTCCCTCTCTCTCTCTCTCTGTATATATATATAATCTCCCTCTCTCTCTCATCTCTCTCTATATATACACACATATAATCTCTCTCTCTCTATGTATATATATAATCTCCCAGTATATATATATTTAATTTCTCTCTCTCTCTCTCTCTCTCTCTCTCTCTCTCTCTCTCTCTCTCTCTGTATATATATATATATGTATATAATCTCCCTCTCTCTCATCTCTCTCTCTATATATATACACATATAATCTCTCACTCTCTCTCTCTATGTATATATATATAATCTCTCTGTATATATATAAATTTTTCTCTCTCTCTCTCTACATATATATATATATATGAAGTAAGTGAATATATATAATCCTTCCCTCTCTGTATATATATATATAATCTCTCTCTGTGGAATACAGTTAAAAGCGGCGTTAAACCCAACTCACTCACTCACTAATTTATATATACAGTTGCTCTGTCTAAATTGTGGTTTCAGATACCAGACTTAAGTACCCGTTTACTTTAAATAGTTGTGAAATGTTAGGTTGAGTGACATTGTATATAAGTCCTATCTAAATATAGTCTCGATCTTTTGTCCCTTTTAAGTGCAGTTCGAATCCCTGCGTCACCGCATCCTTGACGTCAGTGTTGGCATACTTTCAGTTTCACATTCGTCTTGCCCCAGTAACCCACTGAGTGGGTCTTCAACAGAAGCGTGATTTGATGAACACACTTAAGGCTTGTAACACAAAACACCTTCAAACGTCATTCTCATAACTCATAAAGCAAGCTCCATTCGCCTGCAAACAGGATATAACACAGCATCTCCCGATGTCTCTGTGCCTCACATTACAGCAAAGTGTAGAGGATTTAATGACAGCAAATTGTAAAGGATTCAATTCAACAAAAAGAGGTTTGAATTACAACAAATTGTAGACGTATCAATTACTCACAAAGTGTTTTATCAAAGTGTTATCGTAAAGCAGATGGTGTCTTCATCACGTCCTGAAGTAAGTGAATGTTATAAACAAAATACTCGAGTAAACGGATGTCAACCACTCTGCGACATCACGATACCTATCTCAAAAGGGAACAAAACGTGAATGTATTTTAAGACGAATGCTATCAGTACACAACAAAATGGGAAGTATACACTGCCTGGCGATCTTCACAAATGGGATGAAACAAGGACAGGTTGGCTCGGAGGATACGACATCTGAGTGAGGCTTCCATGTTAAACTTGGGCATGATTGGCTAGCACTATGAAACCGGCTTTAGTCCGGAGAGGTACAAGCAACATGGGACAATGTGTCAATATATTTGTGCAAATTAATCATTCAGCCTCGACAGCTAGGTACGCATTTGACAGTACGTCTTCCTATACAGGGTATGTAACAAGTCATTAATATACATGCACTTGTGGCATAAGTCTGTAATGACATCGAACAGGTGTATGTCACGGATATGAGGACTGATGTAAGGGTAGTATCACCTGTTATGTACTATCAATACGCATGTCATCAATAAAACTAGATAAAACTATCCTAAATTTGGAGAGGGTGGATTCAGATAGTGACGTGCTATCCGCTGATGTCTTGCCTTACTGAGGCTTCTATCGCGAGTATTTTAAATGTCAAGTTAGATTTAGATGATGTATTCTCCCCAACCGTTCGTTGTGGCACCTTAACATCACTGTCTTTAAATGAACCATACAATGATACAATTTACATTTCAGAATATTACAATCCAATGACTGGATTATGATGTATATGGTCTTTGTTTTAATATGGTTAATTGTAGATGATAATGGTCGATATTAAAGTTGTACATTGTATATAGACCGCCGTCATATAGCTGGAATATTGCTGAGTGCGGCGTGAAACAACAAACAAACAACATTGTATGCACTAATATTGTTAATTATGGAACACTATGCACGACATGGTTGTATATAGAGTGGTGTTGTCATTTGTTGAACCCTATAATCGACATTAAGATTCGAACCACACTTACTTGGAATAGTTGGGCATTGTGTTAGATCCATACGTTATCTGTAGGAATAGTTGGACATTGTTTTAGATCCGTACGTTATCTATGGGAATTGTTGCGCATTGTTTTACACTACTACCTAAAAGTTCATTCCCCTAACACGCGTTGAGAACGCGTGTGACACGCATGTGACACGGGTGCTCAACGGGTTGCACACGGGTTGAGCCCGCGTGTGCAACTCGTTGAGCACGCGTAAGTCACTCGTTACACACACACGTGTGCCATGCGTGTAACACGGGATCGGGCTTCAGTTGAAGTTGGAAAATATATCAAATGGATAGTGAGATAAATCAAAACAGTGAGATGTGAATCTTGAGTTAATGAGCGGCCATTGACCTGTGTTCACTAGACCATGAACACAAGGTCGGCCCGTCTTCCACGAGGGTCCAATCTAGCCATTGTGGCTACCCGACTGTAGAACAGTAGTGAGTTTAGAAGCGAGGTTTATTGCTAGGGGAATCCCCGAGTTGACACGATTGTCGCGGGTTGGTAAATGATCGCCATTAATGAAGTGATTGTTTGTGGATTGCGAACATATTCGTTTTAAGTTTTGCCCACGTGAGTCATTCAGGGTGACTGCAAATACTCGTAACGTTTTTCGTTCGCCAAATTTATGCTTTAGATAGTATAATTATGATAGAACAGTCATCACTGCTTATGTCTTATTATTTCACGTAGGAATATGTCCCATTTCCCACACCCCACTTTCTGTTTGGTATTTTGTAGAATTATTAAGAGAAAGTTTTGTGTGGGACTTAACATTTATCACTAATTCTAAGAGGATATTGGAAATGATTATGAACAGCCATTTTGTCTCACCGTTGATATAATTTTAGATCTTCACAATCACCGGGTGTGACCATGTAGACAAAATCTCGTTAGGGTTTGTGATTTTTACATTTGCCCAATGACCATGGTGAGTATTGTTGGGGATACCAAAGGTGACAGTTTACTATTAGAGGAAATTGGTTGTGAGTAATTATACCATTTGGATAGGATATCTTTAGGATTTTAATCCTTTCTTTCTCTGTGGGTAATCCTTTCACGTTGATGGAAGGAAGTCACTCAACCAGGTCATGACAATGGTTATGCACAAGGCTCGGAATCGCGAATGGAGGCTGGACATGCAGCATACAGTGTAGGCTGGCACCTCGTCTTTGTTTCACTCGGTATTTAAAACCTTGACCATTCACAGGTGCATTTGTCCATTTACAATGAAGATGTTTAGCGTTCCCAGTATTTTTATACTATCTCACTGATTACTTGTTAATTGGTCACTGCAAGTGCCTTAATTATTTAAATTTCAGTGAACTGAGTTTGTTCACATGTTAGCTTTCAAAGGTTGTGATGGATACTTGTATAATCATCAGTTGAGTTTACTCACTAACTACTGTGAGCGTTTTGGCATGACTTCTGTGCATGTATAAACATAGTAACTGCTAAAAGCGGCGTAAAACCATGCTCACTCACAGTAACTGTTAATCCTCTGCATTGTGCTGGCAAATTTGGGATAAACCTGTGACGATCAAACTTAGTTAGAATCCTTGTTTATCTGTGACATCTTCCAACTGGTGACATTTTAGTAAACTTGAAAAGTGATGATGAATTTTAATAGTTATTTTATTATAGTTTTTCAAATTGTAAATAAAACTTTGATAAAATTGTGCTACACTCTCTGGGAAAATGTATTGTCTGTGGGTAAGTTTATATGTCACGTCACATCAGCATTTGTTCAGTTATATTGCGGCGAAATAATTGCCAGCTTTTGGGACTACATGTAACATGGCTGCTTTTGTATTTTTTATACAGGTACTTGACTGCCTCGGTAGTGCATGATCAATTAGAATTTTCATTGTGTAAACAAATCAGTCAAGTTTGCAAAAGTAGATGAATAAGTTGATAAATTTGGACCGCAGTTACCGATTAACAACTTAAGACATAGAGACAGGTCGTTGATATATAACAAACGTTATGGTCCTGTTAAGACGATTGACAGTTAGAACGTTGGAGTAAATGACCCTATATTGTAGGGTCAATCGCTTTTGGCATGTTTAAACTCACTTTAAGGCACATGACAAGTCAAAGCTGACCGTCCTGATTACGTTCTTATGTTTGACAGCAACTATGCCCATGGACTTCAGAGAAAGATATGATTTCTACCTTGATGTTATTACAATAAGCGAAAATGTCTTCGAAGTCCACAGTTTGTTAAATAGCACAAAAATAAATGTGTTAAAAATCAACGTTTTCTTTTATTGAGCACAATATTTGAACTGTATTGCTGTAAATAATCTAGCCTGCTGCCTATGTAACTTAAACAACTTTATGTAACTTTAACTTTATGTATGATCTTCATATGCCACGTCTTATGACCTCTTTTAGCCCTGCTGACGCTATCATAATGTTCAATTTCAGTCTGGCACTCCAAGCGTGAATAAGTATTAAACATGTGTTGATAAACCACACTGACGCATATACATTTTTGTAGATATGAAACATTCTAGCTAGTTAATTATGGATACACTGGGCACATATACATAAGAAAATCCCGTGACCGATGAATTGGTACCTTGATATGCAACAAGAAAGAATCTTGTTTATTTCCAGGCCATCCTGATCATCATTTACTCCTACTTCATGCATGGTTAGAGGCAAGATCAAAGGCGCCGCCCAGCATTTATTAGAAAGAGAAGAAGAA